CAGAAGCTGCTCTTCATATTAGTGACAAACTTTGGTGTTTTCTGACAGGTTACCTTCATTTTTGTTTCTACTTTTCATTTAAAATAAGTTTTATATTTTGGCAGGTTTCTAAGGTTCTTCTTCTACATATTAAAAAAAGTTGTTAAGCATCTGAGTGGTGCACTACTGCCATTAGTGGTGGGAAAGTGTATTGCACCTTATATAAAATCAATGCGGTCCCACGGCCCTCTGTGGCCCAAAGTTGAAAAATGTTGTTCTTTTGTGGCCCTCAAGGTGGCGCTCGCGGTCCAATTGTGGGCCGCGGCCCATAGGTTAAGAATCTCTGGTTTAAGTGACCTATAGAATAGGAACTTAAATGTTAAGGTCACAATACAAAAGGCCTTACAGACGCCAAAAGAACTACGTCATGTGCAAAAAAGCAGAGATGATTTTAATAAATTGACACCTTCCTCTCTCTGACCATACCTTGAGATCTTGTCCGTGAATGTCACAAACAGGATCTGAGACAAGGTTCAGCCCAGATGGAGTCCTACCCACACTGGGAACAACCATGTCTTTGATCTAAGAATGCAGACACAGCTCGTGTTTGGTTTATACAGAGACCAGATAGCCCTTTCAACTGACCCTGATGAAACAAAAACCATGAAACAGTCACAAACCCTTTCTAGGTCAAAATCCCAGGACACCCACCAGCAGCTTTGCTAGTATAAAGATCTGGTCTACTGCTCCACAAACTGGACATAAATTAAACTGAATGAAAGATCAGTTGGAGCTTCCTCTCCAACACCCTGGAGTACCCTTTAACAGGAAGGCTGATAAGTTTGTTGTATGATATTTGGAGCACATACTGTATCCCAGCTGTCTTTTTAAAAAACCTGGAATCACCATCCCTGTCGACCACAGCGCAGGTGTTGTTCCAGTCTACCATGCAACACTGAAGAGGTGTGTCAACCACAGGGGCGCCACCAGATTTATCCTCTTGAGTTCCCAGATTTTTCCTTGTTAACTTCCCATATATATATA